CTAAAATGCAATCATTTCCACACATCACTTCCCCATACATTGTGTTGCAAGAGGAAAGCACTACAGGGTGCATCTCACTAAATGATACTTCTATTCATTCAATTATGTATCAAACATGCACTAAGCATTCATGTATGGTGGAGATGATTATGATCATGATTATGTTTCCAAAATGTAGTGAACTAGCTAGAAAATGACAGGGATTAATACTTACTGAATGAACAACTTTATGAAAATCATGGAAAGGTTCACATAGAACTGTGTAGTGAAAAGATATAGACAGGACTAAACAAGGAAAAAAAAAAAACACCAGCAAAAGTAGAGGAATAGGAGTTAGTATACAGGCATCTCCCCGGCCTATCCTGATTAGACCTGTTAATCACAGTAAAGTTCAGCTCTCTGTACCGCTACCTGCTGCTCCCTTCAGTACAGTAATTACAAATAAACTGGAGCTGGTGAAAATGGAAGAAAAGTAAAAATGCATACATAGGCTACTTTGAGCCCGGCTGGTTCTCGTTCCAATAACTTCCATCCATATTTCCATGCACCATAAGCAAGCACTCATTCATTCACTCATTCAATCACCAAATCCATTCTTCTCTCCAAACTCTGGCCCCACATGCTTATCCGTTCTTAGATCACACACTCGGGAGACGGTGGGGTTTCTGCAGACTCTCCAAGAACACTGCATCGTCGGGGCCTAGCCGTATGCGTACCTCCACACACATCCCTCCAAGACTGCTCATGAACGCCTTTAGCCTCCCCAACACCGCACTCCTGTTCTACTCAGAAGGGTGTTTTGTCCCCCGAGCCGTGCTCCATACAGAGCACTGTCTCCACTCATTTACAGCCACCCCGACTCTGTGGGAGGTGTGCAAGGCTGGAAAGACAGGCCCAAGGCGGCCTGTGGAGCTGCCCGCCCTCTGCCCGCTCCACACGAGCCCAGGCGGCCCCCCGCCCTCGGGGTGCGGACTCTGCGTCCCTCTCCGCAGCGGCTCCCCGGAGAGCTGGCACCGCCCGGCGTGCAGGGGGCGCTGGGCTGGCGGGAAGGAGGGGGCGACTTGGTGCCCGGCGCCGCGCTCCGGCCGGAAAGACAATCGGCGCCCTGAGCGGCCGTCCGCAGAGACCCCCGCCCCCGCGCCCACCGCACCTTTGCGCTCCGCCTCGCTGTCGGCGTCGCTCCCGAAGAGGTCCTCCATGTCCGCCATGGCAGCTAGATCGGCAGCCTCCGCGGAGGCGGCTCCACGCGTGCTTTACGGCCCAGCCGACGGAGCACGACACGACAGTGTCGCAAAGACAGGCACAAAAGCCTCCATTACCTCTATGACCAAGTTTCCGCATGCACTTGGTGGCCTCCACCCTGTGATGTCTGCGCTAGTGGGCGGGAATTCGCTCCGTGGGCGGTTCCGGGCGCCGGCCAGTCAAAGCTTGGGTGAGCACCCCCTCAATAGTTTAGTACCAGCGGCCTCAAGTGCTTGGGTATCTACGGAAGGCCCTTTCTTTTTCTTTCTTTCCTTCCTTTCCTTCCTTCCTTCCTTCCTTCCTTCCTTCCTTCCTTCCTTCCTCTCCCTCCCTCCTCTTTCTTTCCTTTGTTCCTTCCTTCCTTTTTCATTCCTCTCTTTCCTTCTCTCTCTCTCTTCTTCCTTTCCTTTCTTTTCTTTTGTAAAAGACAAATGTTTTGCCTCATAGTGCACTCGTGTATGCAACGCCCGTAGTGCCCAGAAGAGGGCTTCTAGGATTGGAGTTATAGTTGCTAGCTGGGATACAAGAAACCCCTTTGTTTTTTTTTTTAAAGGGTGGGGTGGGGAGATAGCTCAGGGGGTAAATGACTTGCATTGCAAGCATAAAGACTTGGGTTTGGATCCCCAGTACCTACTTAAAACTCGGGCTCAGACCCAACGTCTATAACCCCAGCACTGGGATCCATGCGGTCAGGGAGATCCAGGTTTTGTGAGTCACCCTGTCTCAAAAAAGTGAAGAGCCATTGAAGACACCGGAAGTCAACCTGTGGCCTCTAGGGACATGAACACACACAACATAGCTTTGGTAGCGTCCTTGCATGTCTCTTGTCAGGCCGCAAATTCCATCTACACTACTTTGGGGGTAGGGGGGAGATACTAAGGACTCTTGCTAGCAGGACATGCTGGTACACGCATAAACGCAACACACCAGAGAGGCTGAGGCAGGAAGATTGCTGAGCATTTAAGGCCAGCCTGGGCCCTACATAAGTTCAAGAGTCAGGAGCTGGAGAGCTAGCTCAGCAGTTAAGAGCACTGGCTGTTTGCCCAAGACTGGGGTTCAAGTCCCAGCACCCACATGACTGCTAACAACCAACAATAACTCCAGTTTCAGGGGATCCGATGTCCTGTCCTCCATAGGCATTGAAGGACACGGGTACACTTACATACATGCAGGCAATACACATAATAAATTTTTCAAAAATGTTCAAGGAGTGCCTGGGATACATAGCAAAACTCTTAAAAACGATTTTTTTGATTATGTAGGTTAGGCTATTGATATTACCGAATTAGTAATTAAAGCAGATTTTTAAAAATTCATTTTTAAAAAAATTAATTTTAAAGTAATAAATGTTAGGGTTTGAGAATCGAGAATAATTCTCACAGATACCCAAAAAGATTATACAAAAAGTTTATTCAAGAATTTAAAGTAAAAAAAAAGACAACAACCAAATGATGGCTAGCCGGGCACAGACTTCATGAGCCAAAGATGGAGGTTGGCCCTGAACAATAGCAGGCAGGAGCTTTTAGTGGGGCTCTCCACAGAAACCCGCGAGTGCCAAGCATCTTTTTAAAATAATTGGATGTCCCCATATCCTGTGTACGGGGAAAGTCTTGATTGGTAGGGGCTGTCTTCAGGCATTGGAATGTGCTGACTAGTATCTTTTAGAGTCAGAAGTTTTTGTTCATACCTTATAAGGCTTTTACATGTATAATATGCCTGAGCTTGTCTGGGCTTGTCTAAACAAGCTGGCCAAAAGGGAGTCAGAGCATTCTGGCTCTTCATTTCCCCCTAGAGTTATGGCAAGGGTTAAATCTTTAAGCCAAGCAAATTACAGAAGCAGAAAGAAGCGGTTAGCGCATTTAGGGCGGTGGAACCATCTCTATATTGTCGTAAGGTTTGGGGGGGGGTCTCGATTTAAATGAGTATACTGCGACTGCAGTACCATCAGTTGGACTGTCTGTATCCGTTCTCGGATGAATTTGAGGAAGGCATTAAGAATACAGGGGCCACAGGTGACTGCTAATAGGAGTAAGAGGAGAGGTCCGACTATTGCTGAGATCAAAGTTGTTAACTACGGGGACCAGTCAAACAGGGATTCGTACCAATTTTGTTGATTTAGTCATTTGTTTTCTCCTTCCTTAAGTCTTTTATGGACCTCAGCCAAAGACTGTTTTATAACTCCTGAGAGTTTAACATAGAAACAGCACTGTTCCCTAGGGCAACACAGAGTCCTCCTTTCTCTAGAAAAAGTAAATCCAGCCCTTTCCTATTTTGTAAGGTTACCTCAGCTAGAGAGGATACAGAGTCTTTGAGGTGGCGGATAGATGTTTCTAATGATTGTATGTCTACGGCCTGTCTAAGAAGGTGATAATTTTTATGCTGGACTAGCGCTGAAGCCCCCAGACCAGTTGCAGTGGTTACCCTGACCCCGAGTAGAGTAGACAAGCCAACTGCAGTGGTTCCTATGGCCCTATGAGGTCTAGACTCTTCTGAGACTCTGGTTTCCATTTCTATGTCTGTTCTATAATATAGATGGGGAACCAGCTGCACTAGTACACAAAAATCCCCAGTCTGGTTTAAATGGAGGAGTGGAGGCATGTAGTTAGGCCAGAGGTGCAGGCCCACCAAGTGGAGTTGGGGGGAACCGTATATGGGTTAGGTGCAGAAGCCCCTTGTCTCTTGAACAGAGTTATATAGATGTTGGTAAGAAGGGGGAACAATTTTATGTGAGGGAGTCATGCATAGCCCTTTTCCATACACTTGGGTAAGGGTAAGCTCCCTTCTCCCTGTAGGTGGGGGAAGTCTACAGGCACTGGGGTCAAAATTGACAACATAATTTCCTGGGAGAGCTAACCTATCATAAAAGGGAAGGCTCGGATCCATGCAAAACCAGCAATGGATAGTAAGGTTAGGGGAAGTATTATTCAAAGCAATGAAGGTGGCATTTAGGAAGTTCGTAAGCCCAGGGGATGGTTGCAAGGGCTCTTGGACCTGTTGGATCTCTGGGGGTATGGATCTAGGTGTAAGCAAAGTAGCAGTTTTATCCAGTCAGACAATTTGGCTAGGAGCTGGCCTCTCATCAGATTTAAAAATAGTTAAGGCCAGTGTTGGTCATCATATAGGCTGTAACACTGTCCAAGCCAGCCCCATCTGGGTCCCCATGACTGGACCCACCTGAAGACGGACTGAAAAAAGTATTCCTGGATCAATCCCTGGTGTATAACCTGAGGCCCCAAGTTCGCCCATCAATCCGTTTTTGTAGGTTTTTAAGTTCCTTTCCTTTTGGGGTGAAACTCAAGGAGATAGGGTTGCATCTAGAGCAGAAACAGGGTCCCTTGAATTGCCTTGATCTGGTGTTTCACCAAAGGGTTAGGCCCGGGACCGCAGTTACCTGGATCAAGTCGGTAGTGTCGGGGGCAGCCCAGTTAATATATCCAGTAGACACACAGCTCCATGAAGCACAGAAATAGTCCCCTGGCCCCCACAGGTACTTCTTCAGTCACCATTGTTGCCTGGGCAAACATAGAAGTGGTGTTTCGGCTGAGGGGAGACTGGCAAGCATAATTTACAGTGCCTGATGGGGTTACGATTCCCAAGCCCCTTCAAGCAGGTCACAGAGGTCGAATGTAATCTTGGGGAACCAGGTGCCTGGAGGTCCCAGGCGGGAGGAGATTTTCACTATCTTTTCAGTGAATGTGCTACTAACTACCCAGGTGAGGTTTTGGAGTCCATGGGGGGAGTTAGCTAGGGCAGGCTCTATAAAAAATAAAAAGCAACAAGGCTTATGGTGTGGCAGAGAGTTTTAGCTTGAGAGGATTGTCTTTTACATGTGTGACCTTCCATCTCTTGTCAACTTGGTCTGACCAATCTTCTGATGGAGGCTTTAGATGCAAGTGATGTATCCAGGTCCAGACACCAGCCTCCTTAACCACAGTAGGGGTGGTGAGGATCATGATGTGTGGCCCTTTTCATCAAGGTCTGAGGGGCTCCTTATGGTGCCTTCTCACCCAAACAAGGTCTCCTGGCTTGAATCCATGCAGTTGGGCTGGTGGCAGTTTGTAGATGTGCCTCAGCAAGGGGAAACCATTGTCTTGTGCAATCTGTAAGGCCTATAGGGACTTAAGAAATTGGGATTCAGACAACTCAATTAGCACATCTGAAGGTAGCTTGGGAAGCAAAGGGGTGGTTGGCCGTACATGATTTCATAAGGTGTTAGGCCTTGAGTATATGGGGTATTTCTGACCGTGTATAGGGCAAAAGGTAGGAGGCCTGTCCAGTCATCCCCAGTTTTTAGGGTTAATTTGGTGAAGGTCTCTTTAAGGGTCCGATTCATTACCTCTACTTGCCCTGAGCTCTGGGGGTGGTATGCGCAATGTAACTTCCAATTAGTTCCCAGTGTTTTAATTAACTCTTGAGTTACCTTAGAGATGAAGGCTGGCCCATTGTCTGACCTGATCACAGAAGGGAGTTCATACCTTGATATTAGTTCATTGATGATCTTTTTAACCATCATTGAGGCGGTTTTCCCCTTTGTGGGAAACGCTTCGACTCATCCTGAAAATATATCTACAAAAACTAGGATCCCGTCCTTTGAGGACGTTCCCTAGCCCAGTGACCCAGCTGTTTACAATATGCACACTAGTCTCTTTTTAGGCAGGGCCGACCTTCCTGTGGGGGTCATGGAGCTCGGGTTCCCTTTTTCATAGGGGGTTGGTCCCCCCCATTTGGGATTCGTTGCTCTTTCAGCCAACAGTATCCTAGCCAGCCCTCTAGTTTGTCTTTCTTCAGGGGTTTCTCTATTGTTAAATACCTTGTTCACCACCGCCATCAGCCCAAAAGGGTTTTTGCCCTCAAAACCTTCCAGCTTTTGAAGTTTTTGTTTTATGTCTGGAGCTGCCTGATTTACAAAAGCCATATTGATGGCCATCTGATTCTCTGGAGCCTCTGGATTTATGGGAGTATAAGTTCTGAAAGGACTGATGACTGCCGCCCCTGCGTACCTGGTTCCTTCCTTAATGAAGCTACTTCCATCCATGAACAGAATTAAGTCTGGGTGGGGCCATGGAACATCTGTCAGGTCTTCCCGAGTCCCATGTAAGCTGCAGAATACCTCCAGGCAGTCGTGCAGGACCTCAAAATCTGGTTCTGGCAGCAAAGTGGCAGGATTGAAAGCAGTGCTAGAGAGGAACT